AAGGCATACAAGGCACTAGTACTACCAACAGTAGAATATGCTTGTACAACCTGGGACCCATACTTAAAAGAGGACAAAAACCGGATAGAGATGATTCAACGAAGAGCGGCCGGGTATGTTACAAACAGGTACCTTAACAACTCCTCTATTACCAACATGCTAGAAGACTAAATTGGACATCATTGGAAGAAAGAAGAAACGCAAGACTGGTGTTAATGTACAAAATATGAAATGGGCAGGTAAAAATTGATTCTTCAGAGAGACTCTTGAAACCAACAAGATACAGCAGAAACATGCAACTTGTAACTCATTCCAGAAACCATACTGTAACACTGCGGAAGGAGTCTTTTACCCGAGGACAATTCGGAATTGGAATGTTCTGCCAACTGACACTTCCTCGGCTTCAAGTTTTGAACATTTCAAGGCTCTCTTACTTGATTAAATTAATCAAGTTGTTTTTACATGCACTAAAAATTGTACAGCACATTTATGTTTGATTTAATGACCAAAACTGCGCACACCAAAAAGTGACAAAATAATCAGTTGTTGAAGGCGGTCGCAACATGATAGAACTAGAAGTAGAAGGCAATCCTGAGAAATAGGCGGCAGAAGCAGAAGCTCCTCGAAAAGAATGAGGTGTAAAGTTTTCGATGCTGGAGAGTTCCAAATCTAGCCTAAGTAAAGTTGTTATCGGAAGAAAAATTTAATATGACAAATAAAACTGAAGATTTCCTGTAGTCTTTTTGTCCTTCTCAAGTACTCTTTCAATGTAGATTAAACACAAACGCTTTGTCAGAATATTTATACAATGTCACTTTATGTACAGGACTACCTGTTTTGCAATATAGTAATATTTTCATAATAAAAGGAACATTATTACTAAAAAAATTCCATATTCTGTAAATCTAGAGCCAATAATGTTTGTGGTCTGGAAGCTGTAGTTAGTGCGGTAAGAGCTATTAACTTAAGAGTCAACATGAAAAATCTTAAAACTTTTCAAACATCCCAAGTAAGTTTTACTTTTGATCTAGAGGAATTAATGTTAAAATAACTTTTGATTAATTTTGGCATCAATAATGATGTTTTTGTGCATTCAATACCGAAAAAGGCAGGGAATTCACTAACATAGATTTCTGAGTATTTATTATAGAATAAGAAAGTTTTAACTTAATTAAAGATGTTAAAATATCTCATAACATTCACTTCAGACGGTTTATTGGGATTAATACCCCATTTACATGCATAACACCCAAAATATATATCTTTTCCAACAGCATTGATATAATTGCTTGTTTGTTGCTCCTCTTAAAGATGCTGTAATGATTTTCGCAACAAAGTTTGAAAGTCCTGAATATGGAGTGATCGCCTGATAAATACAAGCGACTAATTTCTTTTTCCGAATGGGAGAACCTCGCCTGTTTGTGGCATTGTCAACAAATCCTTGAGCCAAGGTAGCCTGATTGGAATAGAAACAAGAGCAGATATTACCAAGGGAAACCATATTTGTGTTTTCCTCAATGGAATTGTGATAGTGGCTTCTTTGCTACAGTCATCAAAAATTTTGTTTATAATTCTACCAATCAATTTGAAGGATGGAAAAAATTTAAGGATGAAAAACTGACCATGACATTGTAAAAGCATAAAAATGATATGCTTCCGGATCAATATTCCAGGATACAAATTGATTCGACTGTTTATTTAACCTTGAAGTAAATACTCAGTAAATCTATATCTGGCTTAAAAACTGATTAGAAATTCTTTAAAAGATTTCCGATTTTAGCATCCATTCGTTTGAATCTGAAAATTTTCTAGACAATGAATCGGCATAAACATTTTCAATGCCTGGAATATATTGGGCAGAAATTATTAATTTTCTTTCAAAACACAAGTTCCATACTTCGACTGCTATCTTGTCCTATTGTTTAGATTGCATTCCACCCTTTGCATTAATATATGAAACAACTGTTATATTATCAGTTTTGAAACAGTTATTTAGTGACAGTTTTAATATAAAACCACGACAGAAGACATAGATCAGAAAACCCTTAAACAAAGGTACCAGGTGATTGTAAATATAAACAGTTGCATAACAAAATTGTGTTTAGGCGTGCTTGTCATGGCCATTTAATACATATACAATATATCATAAAAGTACAAATAATGAACAAATGTATGCGCCGCTGAGAAACATTTGGCAGCATAAAGATTAAGCAAAAGAAGTTCCATATTGATCCAGGGAGCCTGGAAAAAACAGTACCCCCCGGAGAAAGCAATCTATACAAAATTATGCCAAAAGGGTCATAGGACATGGGTCCAATGCCTAATGTCCTGAGACCCATCCGCCACAACCAAGATGGGGCGGCAATTTTGCAGCCCAAAATTAATACAAATACAAATATATATGGAAGCACAGATGGTACTATGGAACACTGAAAATATTTGAAATGCAGATAATTTTGGTACAGATGGTACCACTCTCTCTATATATAAATCTGGAAGTGCAAATAGCAAATAAATGGATGATCAACCACAGTTGGTACCACACTTAAATAATATACTGACTGCACAAACTGACATTAGATTTGCGAAGGCCATTTGAGTAACAAATGGCACTCGCAAAATTGACACATGACAAGCATAAACAAACCAAAGAACTACGCACGCTAACTCTCGATTCCCGCCTAAATTTTACACCCATTTAATTCAATACTAATGGCAATTTGGCCGTAAAATTTTTGTTGAATCCAAAGAACAGTTCAATTATAATTGACTGATAATTCCAGTGTTAAACAGTTAATTACCCCTAATTACAGTTCTTTAAATATGGGGGTAGACGATATTTTTCATTGAAATCGGGCTTTAAAGCATCACCACATTTTAAAATATTCTTGGTTATGAATAAATGTTCCTTAAATCTTTTCGTATGTTTTACTCATATAAAATCAAACATATATTATTAATAAAATACAATGTTTTAGTTGTAAACCCCTTTGAAATTGGTGAAAAAATAAGCATTTTTGTAGTTTTTTGTCTGTAAACCTATGCCCCCCCCTCCCCTGAAACACAAAAAGCTTTGGTATGAATTTGTGAAATGACAGTCCATATTACCTGTAAAAAAGAATTTTTGTTTCACGGGGGGAAAAGATGTTTTAAAAATATTTTCCGTTTTCCGTTGATTTCTATAGTGAAAAACACAAGTTTTACCAAAATTATAGAGTTATCTCTCTTTGTTTTCCCAAAGAAGTAATGTTATATGAAAATTCATATAAATATCTATATACATATGAAAAATCATTCAAATGTGTTAACTTTTGAAAATTGACTTGGAGGTAGGCGGGAGAACAATAGTATCGTTCGCAGTTCTTTGTTCCCCCTAAAACTACAACTTTGAATATACTATATGGGGGTTGGTGATTTTGGCATCAAGGGAAATGTTGGTGAAGAAAAGTTGCACTGAATAAAAAGATGCAATCCATTGCCCAATGTATTGATAAAGATGGAATTGCCCAAGTCAGATAAGTGAACCCATCTTTCCTAAATAATGCCCTTTGCTGCACACTAATGTCTGGGTAACTAATAGATGCTCCCCGCCCCTGAAACCTATTAATGACGATTGTTGCACAAGCACTATTTATTCTACGTCTGCATTTTTCACCCTCAGTGTTTGCAAGGCAATTAACCCAACTATAGCGTGGCAAAATATGGGACCAAATCAAAGCAGTATGGGGGAGTAGATCAGCAATGTCTGCTAAAATGGATTTAAAAATTTTTTGGAGGCCTCTTAATGTGTTGTGAGGCTGACCTATATTGTTGCCCCCACAGTGAATGACAATTATCTTTGGAGCATTGTTCCTTGATAACAAAAATTGAATTGTTGGATACAACTGCTCCCAAACCATACCCCGAATCCCATGCCACAATATGGTGAAAGGCTCCAGACAAAGATGGTCTTGATTCAAATTCTTTGCATACAGATTGGCCCAATGTATTATGGATGAACCTATGTTCCAAATGGAATCTATAAACAAATTGAAATGAGCAAACATGAACACATTTATTTTAAATTGTTAATCAAGGAAACTGGTCTCTTGAAATTAGATAATTAATTTTAAGATGCATTAAGCACCTAATTAGGTACTTAATTAGTACATGACAATGGCCTTATGTAAGATTTGTAAGCAAATGACCTTCCCATCTTCTTAATATACTCCTCAGTATAACCCTTGATATACAAGTAGGTTGCACCCCCAATCCGAAATGAATGTGTCTTAAATGAAGATGATTGAATATGTAAAAACTTTAAAGCCTTGTTCAACATGGATGAAAATTGGTATTGGGTTAGTGGTTTCAAGTTCAGGTGTGAAAAGAAGGACACCTGAATATGATTAGATAAAGCAGAATATCTCTGCAATGCTTGAAACAACAATGCTGTATCATTTGATTTTTGGACTTGAACAACTGCCCCTAAACCAGACTGATCAGTCTTTATAAAAATTGAAATGGTATCACATGAAAAAGTAACATGATCAACACCTAATTCCACCACTTCGCTCACTCTAAGTAAGGCAAAAAAGCCAATGTAAAGGCAGATTGAAATAAAGCTGCCTCAAAAGTAGAAAAACACAAATGAGGCAACACATGAATAATTTTTGACAACAACAATGTGATGGGCTTTCTAATATCTTGTGATAGATTAGATTTCTTGTAACCCGCTAATAACTTCTTTACAATAAACGAGTCAACTGAATTTTGCCAGCCATGTAAATTGACCAGAAAACGTATTGCTGACAAATAGCATTTGGCAGTAGAAAAAGCTAGTCCGCTTTCTGAAAGATAAGCTATAAAATTTATCACATGATCTACCGGAGGAGGCCAAACTTGCTGAAATGATGATTCTAGTCTAAATTTGTTAAAACATTGCCATCCTTGCCAATACACCCTAGCTGTGTTTTGAGAAACACTGGCCTGCAGGAGACTGTCTATAGTTGCTGAATAACAGTTCAGAACTCCATAGGAACCATGAAGGGATATGGATCTGCCCAAGGAGCCAATTGCCGAAACCTGGACCACTGAAACCGAGAAATGGCATCAGCAATTTCATTTTTAACACCTGGAATGTGCTGGGCCTTTATTTGTATATTAAACTTTAGAGTATGCAAAACCAACATCCTAACGAAAGTCATAACTCTCTTGATTTCGGACGATTTGCGATTAATGATGTAGACTAAAGCTGAATTATCAATATGAAGAAGAAGCTTCTTATCCCGCAAATTCTCTGCCCAAATGATAATTCCTAACACTATGGGAATGAGTTCTAACAAAGAAATGTCCCTGTATATTTCTTCTTCCCAACAAGCAGGCCAATGGAGACAGCACCAATGCTTACCAAACACAACACCACAGCCAAAAGAACCTGAACTATCTGAATAAAAATGAAGTGCATCTGCCTCATGCAAAGTAAGACCTGGAAATGGAGTGCTACCGTTAAACTGGCTGAGGAACTGCACCCACATTAACAAGTCAGACCTAATCTCTGCCGTTATCCTTACAAAATGAAATGGTTTCTTAACCCCTGCAAATGAACCGTAAATCCTAGTACAAAAAGCCCTACCTGCTGGCAATGCTTTGACTACAAAAGCAAGTGCTCCTGCTAATGACTGCATTTCTTTCAAAGTTACCTTTTTTGATTCCAAAACTGCATAAATTTTTCCTATAAGTTCCTTAACTTTTTCCTTTGGTACAAAGATAGACATAGAAATAGTATCAATTCTCAAACCTAAAAATGTCAAACAATAAGTTGGTATGATAGATTAGTAATCATCCGCCAACCACCCTGCTTCTTAGGTACTAGACCTATGGGGTTGCACCGCAAGTTTGATATTGGAAGATGTAAAAATTGCCCCAATATTCTGCCTAATGTAACCTCCTTATCGATCTTTTCTTGTAATTCATATTTATACTGATTTGCAGAAGTCATGTTTTTAAACTCCACCCTCCTCCTAGGACCACTAAAATTTAAAGAAAAACCAAACCTAAAGCCTAAAGATAAACAATTGGCATCCTCAGCATTAGGATATGAAGATAACAAATGATCCAAGTTAATAGAATTAATTGGCGAATGACCCAATTCCCAAAAGCTAGCACAATTATGTGATAGGATTGGATTTTGACCCTCCCAAAGGCTGTCGGGACTGTTGATTCCTGGAATAAAGATGAGATTGATTACGGACATTAAACTGAGATGCAGGTTTAACTGCCACAGAATTAGTATTGTTCTTAAAACATTTGACTAATGGGTGAAAAGCATTGCACTTTAGACAGCTATGGAAAAAATTACAATTGGGCTTGTTGCAAATACCATCGTAATTATATGCATAACATTTGCGCTGAACTTGCTGGCCAGCTGGCTGATGACGAGAACTGACGTTTGTGGAAGGGGCCGATTGCATGTAAATCATCCACAATTCCGCATCAACAGAGGACCAGCACAAAGAAATATTGTAAGATTTTTTCAGTCGAAACTGAATGTCATAATCCAACCAATTACCTCTCAATTTTTCAGCCCCCTCTTAATCAGTGTCAAATATTTAAACAATGGGATAGCTTGACAAGTATGTTTTGTTAAGTATACTGAAGCAAATATTGAGAAGGCATCGAGCCATTGTGAAAAACTTTAAATTTTTTGGTCCTTCTGCTTTGGTTTTACTTGGAAAACCCCATCCTCAAATACAACTTCATTTTGCTGAGTTACAGTAGGATCATGGGACAAAAGGGTTGCAAAACTTACAAACTGATCATTAAAATTTTTTTCCTTTTGTATTTTGCGGCACATGAGCAGCAAGTGGAGAAGCCGCAGTGATAAAAGGATTCGGCAAATTATTTAAGGGGTCCTAATTGACCGTACCTGAAACATTTGTACCAGAATCTTTGACAGTAAAGGTAGTCGATGTGGATGGGCCTGACGCAGGCTGGCTCTCGATCAATGGCGCCGACTGCACTGACTGTGTCGCACTCTGCATGACCGCCGGTGCTGTATTTGGCATCAACACCAGTGACGAACTCTGCAAAACCACAGGGGCCGCACTTTCTATCCCCGCCGGTACCGAACTCTGCATTACTGCCGAAGCTGCACTTTGCGTTAGTTACGTCACTGGGTTGAATAATGGCGGAGGTAGCCCTGGCCCGCATCGTTGTCGCAACTCGCCGATTTCTACTACCAATAGTCGAATTCACAGTATTTGTCCTGTAGTATGGACTCCTTGTCTTGGAATTTCTCGATGCCCGCAGCATTTTTTACTTTATTTATCCTAGGATTGCAGGATGACAACTGATTGAATGCTACTGAAAATAAGCACGTCTGCTCTTGACTAACTACGAAATAGAAAGGAATAATCTAGAAGACATGCGCAATAAAGGAAGATGAATCAGCATACCGAACCCGAATTAAATTACACATGTAAGAGTTACGCATCTTTGAATACAACTGCACAAAATAACCAGGTTTATCCACATTGGATAAACCTCAATACATTTTAAAGTAAACTTCTTGGGAAAAGATTTTAAACCAAAAAATACCAAAACATTAATATGGAATTTTGCTTCTTCACATGTCCCTCTACCTCCTGTCATTTTATTTTGAAATCTTGCACCCCATCTTTTTAATGATGCATCTGTTTCAATCCAAAATTCAACAGGATTAGGTTTGATTGGCTTACCATTCAGACCCCCAAGATTTGTATATCACCAATCTATTTCGTGAAGACTAATGTCAGAAAAACCATATTAGAATCATAATTGTCATTAAATTTTTCAATTCTTATCTATATCCCTTTCTAAATTTTTATAATGTAAAGGACCTTGCATAATAGCATTACAAGCATTACCTTAACAAACCAATCAAGGATGAAAATTTGTGCATTTTATAATATTTTGTTGATCTTACATGTATTTCTTAACAGCAATTTATTTATTTATTTCTTTTGGGTTGTATTTTTTCCTCTGTAAAGTAAAGTTTGTATTCAACAGTATCAATTACAATTCCAAAGAAAACAATTCTTTGTGTTGGAGTAGTAACTGTTTTCTTGTATTCACGGTAAAACCAAGATTACGTAACTCTGAAGTCACCATAATCGTTTGATACAAGAATTTCGTTTGATTTGAGAATTTTGATTGATGATCAAGGAGTCATCAATGTAATAACAGCATCTAATTCTATTTTTTCTCAATGAAGTATATATTGATTTAAGAACCTTTAGTTAGTAAATATTCTTGGAATGCTGATAATCCAAACGGTAGTACTACGAATCTATAAAATTTTCTTTCCATTCAAAAGTCAAAAATTTCTTGTAATCTGAATGTACACTTATACTAAAATATTTGTATAGTAATTTCCATAAACTCAACTTTATATCCAGCATAAATTATATCGAACATCCAACCATCATCTGTGAAAAGCTTCCAATATTCAAAATTAAGCTTCCTTACCTTTACTTGTAGTACTTTTTCGTCGTGATAATCTATTGTTTCTGGCCTCGCCTCCTCTGGGTACTGTTCATGATCATGAGTTTCGACCTGCATCTGTCCCTGTATGCTTTGCTGTATCTTTGCTGTGGGCTGATGTAATTTTGATTGCCATAGTTTTTTGAAAATGGCAAGCTATTTAGTTTTATATCAATCGGATGTTTATTTATATCCCCTATTACTTTCAACTTAGAAATGCAATTGTCCCCCAGAATGTGATCCGTTCCTGGTATTTCAGCTGAAACAATTTTCTTAAACCTTGGAGGCAGACAGGATTTAATTTCGTTTCTGCGTTTCATTGATAAGTTGTAACAAGAGGCCCAGGGGCCACATCGCTCACCTGAGCACTATGGCTAGGAAAAAGCAGAAATCAGTTCAGTCTAGAAAGGTTGAAAAGTTTAAATAAAAAAGTGGTTCGGGGGGGGGGGGGGGGTCATGAATTGAACAAATTTGAATCTACATTATCTGAGGATGCTTCCACGTAAATATGACCAATCATGGCTTTGCTGTTCTTGAGTAGAAGATTTTTAAAGATTTAACCTATGTATTCCTATGTAAAACTTTGATCGCCCATTGTGGCCCCATCCGACCCCCGGGGGTCATGATTTGAACAAATTTGAATCTACACTATCTGAGGATGCTACCATATAAATATGACCAATCATGGCTTTGCTATTCTTGAGAAGAAGATTTTTTAAAGATTTTTCCTTTATATTCCTATGTAAAACTTTGATCGCCCATTGTGGCCCCACCCGACCCCCGGGGGTCATGATTTGAACAAACTTGAATCTACACTATCTGAGGATGCTTCCATGTGAATATGACCAATCATGGCTTTGCTGTTCTTGAGAAGAAGATTTTTAAAGATTTTTCCTATATATTCCTATGTAAAACTTTGATCGCCCATTGTGGCCCCACCCGACCCCCGGGGGTCATGATTTGAACAAACTTGAATCTACACTATCTGAGGATGCTACCATATAAATATGACCAATCATGGCTTTGCTGTTCTTGAGAAGAAGATTTTTAAAGATATTTCCTATATATTCCTATGTAAAACTTTGATCGCCCATTGTGGCCCCACCCGATCCCCAGGGGTCATGATTTGAAAAAGCTTGAATCTACACTACCTGAGGATGCTTCCACATAAGTTTCATATTTTCAAGCACAGTGGTTCTTGAGAAGAAGATTTTTTAATGATGCCATTAATTTTTCACGAATTCTTAATTATCTCCCCTTGGAAGAAGGCGTGGCCCTTCATTTGAACAAACTTGAATCCCCTTTACCCAAGGATAGTCTGTGCCAAGTTTGGTTGAAATTGGCCCAGTAGTTCTGGAGAAGAAGATGAAATTGTGAAAAGTTTACAACGACAACGCCGACGACGGACAACGGACATATTTTGATCAGAAAAGCTCACATGAGCCTTCGGCTCAGGTGAGCTAAAAACTGTTCCCTAGCATGCTAATAGCGTCATCAAGCATCATTTTGCTGACTCTGTATCTTATTTATTAATCAAAGATTCTGTAATCTGAATCAGAGGTATCAAACCTGTTGCAGTACATTTTTTAATTATTTTTAAGTTTAAATCAACTGCATATGAGCATTATTTCCCATAACATCCCATATTTCCTTATTAACACGAGGAACTTTGAGATTACAATTTTCTGGACGTGGATATTACTTTTCTAACTCTGTCCTAGCTTCTTTGATGGATTTAACAGAATGCGGCATTTTCAGCTTTTGCCAACCCAACTTTAACTGAGTTTTCGATTCATTGAAATTGATGTCATGAATTATTGGAGGATTTGTATCTGTGCTTAACTGTTTCTTAGATATCTTCGTTTTTGCACGTGTTCTGTCTAACGAACCCGGTGTCTGCGTTTTAAAAATACGCTTCACCCCCAGTAGGTTTCTTGTCATCAGTATTACAGACTGTAGTAGTTGAACTTCTAATGGTAACCTTATTACCAAATAACTCTTCAATATCTGAAAATCTCTCGGTACCAATCAATCCCAGCTTCCTCTATATAAAAACACGTTATATGTACAAGCACTTGTGTCACCTTTCGCTATCAAAACCTCATTTCCATCTCTATATTGACATTCTTACATTTCTCAATAAATTTTTTTAAATAATCCTGTTCAACAATGACTTCTGTACATTTGAAAGAACTCAATTCATCAAGTCTCAAACAACCAGCAAAACTTATCAAAATCATTGATAAATTTTTCAATATAAGAACGTCTTTGCTGTCTTTATACATGTCACACAGATTCTGCAACATCTGACGATCAACGGAATTCTTTCTACGCAGTCGCTTCGCCGATTCTTGCAACGATTTAACAAAGGGATTTTCTATAGGATCTGAGTAACCACTAATTTGTTGCTTCCACTTTATGGAATAAATAGCAGAGTTAACTGTAGAATACGAAGCACCAGATTCTAATAAAATTTAATGCGTAATATATAAAGCAATGTGTTCTGGTTGTGCTGGAATTTCGCTTTGCTCATGACCATTTATGAACGTCTTCATTCGTTGAAAACCAAGTTTATAGGACTTGTTAGTACTGTCAATCTTTGATGATAGAAGATATTCACATATGTGACCACTGAGGTTTTCCAATTTGCTGTCCAATGAAATACCACGTTCAATGACTGGTTTGTTGACATGTAATTGCAATCCTAATCCTGGGAAACAGATTCAAAATGAAATATGTACACATATACCCTTTACATTTTAACACTGCATTCTCCATACCAACATCCTATATTTCAGCGGAACATTTGCAAAAACTGAATTTTTGCTCTTGCCGTGTGTAATTCACTTTTTGTGTACACGTTCGCAAAATTTAACAAAATATTTAAAACTGTTTCCTTCGAATACCGAAGGCCATTAAGGGGATGACTTCACTCCGGAATAATCAACGTACCTGAAGTCTTTTCTGCCACTATTTTATACATAACTTTTGGTATAAAGCTATCTAGGGGAACTAACTAGTTATTTTTACTTACCCAAACTTGAGTGAAAGCGTCAGTTGCGTCTGTACCTGGACACCAATATTTGGAATTAAATCTCTCGCACTTTTTATTGTAATGAGTAGCGAATATCTACAGTATGTAAACCCCACATCTTTTCATTTATCTGAAAAATTACACCATGAACTGACAAATCACCCATGTCAGTTAAACGACTTTAAAAAATCAGCCCTTTTGTTTTCATGTCTTGGTTTCCATTCATTTGTGACATCATATTTGGTTTGCAAGGATTCATTAATTTGGCTTTTTGCTTCCTACTTGTATAATTTTTTAAACATTTTTGTTACCTGAAATAACATTTGATTTTGAATAATACTGACTTTACTTTTCATATTAACTTTGTTTACAGCCTCCAGCTTCCTCCATGTTGAACTTTGCAACGATTCGTTTGCTGCCTAGTTCCCATGAAAACATTTTCATTGTTTTCATTATTATACCCTTCAAAATAACCACCAAAGCCTATATATGAGGCGTCACAATATAGTACATCTGATGCACATAAAAGTTCAATGAAATGACCATTTCCATTCAAAATTGAAACTTTTTCGCCAAAATTCG